TGCAGCGTGCACGTGCAGAGCTGTCGTTTTGATCATTAAACCTATTGTTTCTTGAAGTTGTCGTGGTCGTCGTAGTTGCTTAAGGTCCTTAATAAAACTGACTAGTTCTTTCTTGCCGGCGGATCTCTAAGGTAGAGATGCTAATGCCAGACATCACTTGAAGTGGGAATTAAAACAAAACTTAATGCAGGTCTGGCAATACGGCAAAGGGCTGATATATTTGAGGCCAATATTTCAGCTAACAAAATTAGCCTTCCACAAGCCAAGAGTTACATTGAAAAAGAATACCATAATGGCTCTAGGCTCGATTTCCGCCGTCTCCCGGGTCCGGTCTTGATCCTCCCCGAAGGGGGATGAGTGCGGGCTCATTTTCCCGAACAGCGGCTGGTAATCGAGCCTATAATGGCTCCTGAAATTTGAATTCAAATTTGTTAAATGGTTTCCGAGACTAAGTTATGCAGAGGCCTCTAGAACCTCATAGGAATTGCGCCCTGTTATGCCGATCGCCATGCTATGATTCAATACTCGATATCCTCTTTTTTCTAGATTTTACACAATCACCGCAACCTGTTATCGCCGAGCTATGGGGATAATGGTCGTCTATGACGTCACAGCCGAGAAGTCCTACACCAGCGTGAAAACATGGATGGCTAAAATATTAGAAAATACGAACAAAAACGTAAAGAAAGTCCTCGTTGCTAACAAGTGTGACCTTCAACAGGAACGCGCGGTAAGCAAAGATAGAGGGGTGTCACTGGCCGAAAGTCTTGGTATATCGTACGTGGAAGTGAGTGCCCTGTCAAATTCAAATGTCGAAGAGGCGTTTATGACCTTAGCAAAAGACATTTTAGAAAGAGTATTACGTTTTGGAACAGATGAAACTGCTGCCCTTGGAGACGAAAAGAAATCATTAGAGGAGAAACGTTCTTTCTGTGCATCCTGCTAGAGAGGTCAGGTGTTGTCCTGTCATGATCAAATTTGGCAGGTATCTTGCTCGGGCTTATTCCAGCTTTAGTTCCACATGTTGTAAGAACGATGTTTAAGAATTACTCTCGGCATTTCCTTCAACTTTAATGATGTAACTGTAATCATTTGGCCGTAATCATTTGTACTCGGACGTATTTTCGTTTGTCGCTTCTCTCCGCCCGCAATAAGTCTGCGTTCGCAGGCTCTCTAATCTCCAACGCTGACGTTTTCGGGCCTCGTTACTGAACACGTTCCTTCCCCATAACGGATGGGGATGGAACGTGTGACCAAGTCCTGGGAATGACTGCGAGGGCGGCTACAGGCTATCCATTTCTTTGGTTTTGTTTAATACTCTCTCTCCCTGCTCGCTTTCTCTCTCAAAGTTAAGAGCGCCACGATAAATAAGAGCAAGGTTACACAACGGTCAGTGGACGTACGTACGCCGCCCCAATTTCACTCTAGTTTCATTATAATATAAAATAACTTTAAATAGAGTCTAGTTAAATTGACAAGATGACGGATTTTGAAGACGTCTTGTGAAAACCAATAGTTGGTCGTAAACTGGTGTTTGGGATTTAAAAGAATCGAGAACATTAGCTAACATTCACCTACCGGTTACCCTGTAAATCAGTCAAGTCAGAGATTCTGCAATATTGCCCCTAGGATTCTTGCCGGGAAACATTCTCATAATGTCTTGGTATGAGAGCGCGCGTGATCGGAGAACATCCAGTTATATATTTCAATTAGATTTATGCTGAATTCCTGTGACTCCAAAACCCTGATAAAAGGGATTTCAAGTAAGCCGTGGCAGCGTCTTTAAGGAAACTTAAGCACTTGGGTATGAATATCGCGTATTATCTCTGTTTCTTTTACTTCACCAGCTCCAACAGTGCGACTTTTTATGACGTCCTATGCTTGATGCTACCATAGCTAAGAATCGAACTTGCTTCATATTTTAGCCTGCGTGGCAGGCTCCGCGCGAGGGGAACACGCGAAGGGGAGAGGAGGCCTCCTCTCCGTTTCTACCCTCGTGCGCGCGCACGTCCTCGAAATTTCCCCCTTCGCCCTAAATACCGGCGCCTACTACGCAGGCTATTCGTGCCTAGGCATTAGTACTACATTATGGAGCTGCTAGTTTGTTTGTTCGTTTTTCATTTGTTGTGGTTAATATTATTATTTTGAACTTAGCGACGCTAAGGGTACTGAAAAACGCTATAAAGAGAGAGCTGAATCACAACAACGGCGAAATGTTTTCTGTGCCAGGTTCTGCTTTAATAATTTAAAACCTCTACGCGCAAACAAAAGTACAAGAGAAGCAAGGCAACAATAGATAAAAATTACATCGACATACAAGGTAGTAATGAGACAAAAGAGGGATAGTCCCCGCATGCACTTGAAAAACTAAGTAAAACTAGATAGATTTTCCGCCTTTTAAACCAAGGGCATGAATGCATTTTAAACAAATCTATTAACCATTTCGAAAATGAAGATTTGCCTCACTTCTTTTGAACAGCTTTGAGAAACAGCGGAAGGTCGATAGAGTCAAGTCCACATGGTGAATAACAACGTGACATCTTTGCTTGCGTAACATTCACGTAATACTACATGCAGCATGTGGGCTTACAAAACAGGTCTCCCTGTGCCACTGACTGTTCCAAAGTTCGCTCAGCCCAGGATCTGACCGGGGACACCGCCTGTTTGAACACTCTTTTTAATATCAATGAGAAAGCGTCCTCCACATTTAAATTTGACAGCGCGCTTATTTCTTTGTAAGGAAGCTCGAGATTTCTCGCCAACAATTCACCTCTTTCTTTAGTGACAAGCCTTCGCTTTTCAAGGTCGCACTTGTTCGCTACCAGCATTTTTGTGACGTCAGGGCTGGCAAGTTCCTCTGTTTTTCGTATCCACCTTGGTATGTTTCGGAATGACTTTTCATCGGTGACGTCATACACTAGCATAATGCCATGCGCCCCACGGTAGCAAGTGGACGTAATGGTCTCGAACCTACCAAAACAAATATCGAACCAACTTAGTATTGCTTATTTGTTTATTTATTTATTTAACTTCATGACTGTATTGCTTTTGCCATACTTTTGGATTCCATCAATAGGCATATTAAGCAAAGACAGTACAGTGCATGTCAGATGATCGATGAGAGCTCAAAAGCGCGCGAAAAGAACTGAACGTGCCCTCCGGTAGTCAATTCTCCCTCATTGGTCAACTCGGTTTTAGATCCGGCCCACACCGTCACGGCGTGACTCTCGTCACGTTGTTTTTTTTCTAAATCTGTCTGATGAAATAGGTACGTAACCCAACCAGCATGTAGATATGTAAGGTTACGCAAACCTCTTGTTTTGACAAAGTGATAGGCCTCGAAAGGTTAACCTCATGCCAACTCGGTATTGCCAACAAAACCAATCTTTTGTTGTTTATATACTTCTTTTGGGTTTGACGTAGTTTTAACCTAACGAGGACAGAGACAGGGAGATATCAAATCTACCGAAACCGAATTTGTAGAAGATAGATTTAAGTCACCTGATTATTGTGGAAAATGACGCGAGGTTATCATTTAAACTATTCACATAACCTTGGTATCCAAACTAAGCAATTTTTGTTAGAAACCCGCATAGCTAGTGTCATAGAACTTAAACAAACGACAACTTTCACGCAAACCTAACTGACATTTAGTGCCGAGCACTGGAAAACCGTGTGAACGTATCTGCGTTCATACGCTTTGCACATGACGTACGGATCCCCGAGAAAAATCTTGCGGGCACAAAACAAGCCAAAACTTCACTGACTTTTTTTCCTGTGATAGTGCAGTTTTACGTTTGGGACTCTGTGTTAGGTAACGCGGTACCAGCAAGTTTTCAAGCGCGCACCCGATATTTGCGTAGAGATGCTTGTGCAGTTGTGAGCTGGTTTTATACGCCGGCGTACAAATCATTAAAGGTTTGGTCATAGTCAGTTTGAAACTTTTATGACTTTTATGAAGAAAACGCCTTCCTCTTGAAATGAGCGCGAGAAAGAAAATCCCCAAATTGAATTGGTATAGATCTGATGTATTTCTTAAAACAACTCTGGTCTGTTCAAATAGCAGATACAGCAAGCTCAAACGTTTGTCACATGAATGCAGCATGGAACTATACTGGAACATTGACTAAACATGGTTCTAAATATTTTCCCTACGTAACAAGTTATTCACAGCAAACACTTTGACCGTGTTCCAATATTTCGAAGACAAAGTTCTTGAGACGACGACAACGAATTTAAGCCTAGGCGATTTTAGCCCGCTTCCAACAAGTTCATCGAAGTTGAACAAATAACGGTTACAAGTTGGTGGGGCGTGACTCTCACATAGTTTTGACAAAAAATGCAGAGTAATGATCATGGAGTACAAGAAAAAGTGTTTCCAGAACACTGTAGCAGACACAGATTAACCGCTAGAATTCTTTGGCTAAGCACTATCATTAAGCATTGTTAAATTAAGATAACTTAAAGCATCGTTCCTTCCCAACAAACCGCAAAAAGGCCATCGATGAGAAACAATCTAGCCTGCGTAGCAGACGCTTGGAAGTAGTGGGTGCCCACTTCTTCCAAGCGCCTGCTACGCAGGCTAGAAACAATCCTTATGAAGGGTAAGGCGACCTCTGGGATCGAAAGAACTGCCTTGTTGAGTAATGCTTCGGGCCAAAGATATCAACTGCGCTACCCAGGAGGTTGATTCATACGGTAACCGGTTAATTAATTTCGCCCCCAAGTCATTTCTCCCCGGTTACTTAGCCCCCCATTTTCGAGTCATTTAGCGCGCTTCAAAATGTAATATTTCTCATTCTATAAGCCAGAAAGCAAAACAAGAACGCTTCAAATGTAACATTCCTAGCTCTTAAGCATGCTTCATATAAATATTCCTCGTTAGTAGGGGGCGAAGTAACCGAGGCAAAATGACCGTTAACCATTCATACCTATCTTGCCCCGCTGTGTCCCAGATTTGTAGCTTGATTTTCTTTCCATCTGAGAAGCCAGAAAGAAAAAAACAACAACAACAAAAATGCTGTGCTAGACTGAACAAAAATGACTGCAATAAATGAATGCTTGTCGCAATAAACTTCTTCAACGCGGGTCAATTTGTGCAGCCGAGCATCTTAGTTATAGATTCTGCACTTCAACATACAGCTCAGTTTATGTCAGAGCCGTATAAACTTAGCCTGCGCGCAGACGAAATTAAACTCTGGTTAACTCCATCTGCGAATTAACAGATGAGAGTTAAGTTATCGTCTGCACGCAGGCCAGATAAACTGACCAACATTGGGAATAGACGGTCAAACGTCCATTCTTTTTCATCAAAGTTGTTTCAGACATAACAGCATTTAACCGAACTCTCTAGGTTCATTAAGCCGGTAAAGCCAATAAGGACTAGATATCGGCTTTTATCCGATCCCGGCAATAAGCGACGGCGATGACGTGAATTGATACTTTGTGGAATTTTTTAAATCATAATTTCAAAACTGAATTTCGGCATTTTACATGGCAACAGCCAGCGAAAAGGTGTGTGCCAGAATAGTTTACATTTTCTATTTTAGATCTTGAACAAACTGAGCTACTCTAGGTACCGCGAAACTCCCGCCATTTTCATATACTGATACAAAGTTAACACAACACACAATCACGTGATGAACTAGACAAGCAATATTCTATGATCGGTGCAATTGCCGTTACAAAAAATATATGTGATATTAAACGGGGTTGTTTTGCAATATCATAACTTGGTATTAGCATAAGCGCTATCTTAGGAAAAAAATGGGCAAATAATGATTAAAAAAAACAAAGCAAAAGTAGCCAAAAGTGGGACTTCAACGAACTTCAGTCAAAAATATAGCTCTTGATGCTCTCGTGTTTTGTGCGTCAATCACTACATCCCAACTTGTATGGATGCACGTACTTTTTCACACCTTGTTTTCTTCCCTTTTCCACCAAATGACTGAAAATTTTTAGAATATTCTGACGCATCAAAAGAAGATAGCGCCGCTCAACAACTTTACGAGCTAGCTATCCAGTTTTGTTGTAGAAGTGGGAGAGTATTTTGATTGAAGAACCTTGACCTCTCTCTAAAAATAAATAACACAAATTACCGATTTCCACGGTCCTGATTTTGAAATCTATGCCAATGGTGGTAATGAATGAGGAATCAAACTTGTTTTCAACAAATCGGAAAATTATACAAGTTTTGCCGACACCGCTGTCACCTATGAGGACCAGTTTGAATAAGTAGTCGAACTGTCCCGCCATGACTAGTCTGACTACACTCTCCTGGCGAAATGGCTGGTGTTACAGTTTCTCGAACGTTTGATCAAGTTCTAGTCGCGTGACCAGCGAGTCAAACGTTGTCATCAGGTAGTCATTTGTGGTATGACTAACTCTTGAATTGACCTCAAATATGAACGCTACACTGTGTATATGTCTGATTTATAAACATACACTTTCCGTGCATTGATTGAAACCAAAATAGAACCACGATCGCAAAAATGAAAATACGGGCACTTGTTTCCGACATTTTATGTTCGGGTAAATTTCCCCTGTTGAGAATGTGAAAGAATTTGAACCAAAGGATTAGCTGCAGCTTGCATAACTCGCGCTACCAACGTGAAAAAAACTCGTGCTAGCAGTTTCTAGGAAGACGTGGCTCAATGTATTTCCGTCTTGAGAAAAAAGAAGCGCAGAAAAAAGAAAATGAATATCAGTTGAAAATTATTGTAATGGTTAACCCGATAATACGCGATGTCAAGAATTCTTTAAATATCACCGTGTGTCGGCAATTCATCAAGCGCGTTATTGTTGGTTTTCACAGGACATCACTAAAATTCAAAACTATCCTACTGAGATTTTACTTTCATGATGTATTAGAGCAGCCGTAAACTAATTTTCTTACAAATTTTCGCTTCAAAAGGGTTCTTGGTTTTGTGATAGAGTACGCTTCAATTTTTAAGTTATTGCGTGACGTGGCATTTACATGACAGCTGAGAAAGCTGTCATGTCGGTTAAAAAAGTGACGTATTTTGGGGGAATTTGCCATCTAAACAGTTCATGTATTAGAAAAAGTATTACTTTAATGTTTATGAGTTCCTCGAGGAATAAATTCACGCTTTTGTACCAAAACTCGGTAACAGATGTTTTTGTTGGTTTCCGTCCGCCATGTTGGTGCTCATCCAGGTGGGCACCAGCATGGCATCTCCATACAACTCTCTATAAATTTGGGTAAAACATTTCTTCGGATATCTCGTGTACGAAATATTCCTCTAAGGGAGCATTCATAATTTATCTAGAGGGTGGGCTATGATGATTTCCATATTTTGAAGCCCCCCC